TACAAAGTGGGAATTCAAACAGTAAGACAGCAAACAGTTCTCTTCAACTATTCAACAAAAGCTTAGTAATATGGCTGTCAGTCCTATACACTTAAACACACTTGAAGTTATCCATATCTTCATTTATGTTGAGATTAAACAAGCTAAAGCAGGCTAAAGTCATTCATAAAGTCATTCGGAACAAAGAATAATAGTATTGCTGTATTTCACATCATGACACTATGGGATCAGTACTGGGTACTGTAGTGTCTTTTTAAAAAAATTTTATTTAAAGAAAGACTAAACAAAACAGAAAACAGGTAGGAATAATACATACTTTCAAAGAAAAGATAAACAGTAAGAAATCACTAGATGATTGATTACAGATTGTCCTCTTACAAAGAATTATTCAAGATACTAAATTGGAGCATATAATGTGGAGATTCAAACAGTGGGACTGCAACCAGTTCTGTTCAACTTTCCAACAAAAACTTAGATATATGGTTATCAATCCTATACATTTAAACATAAACTTGAACATCCATATCTTCAATTAAGTTGAGATTGAAGAAACCCAAGCAGTTAAATTAATCTATTTTCTCTCATTTTTTTAATTAAGGGAAAACTAAATTTAAAAATAGCAGGACATATTTTAGAAACTTTCTTGGTTTTCCTATTAACCTGATTTGAACCCCAGTATTTCTCTCCCCATCTTGTTCTGTCTGATTATTCTATATTCTATTTTGTTTGATAGTATCAAGTTTGAGGGTATAGGCAACCACTTTGAAGGCAATAAGATATACTATGATGCCCATTATGGTTTGACTATTATCCTTTCTTTGAAGTCCTGTAAGGTCTCCAGTGTAGGTTTTATTGGTCTTGTTCTGTGCTGTTTTGATCAATTCCATTATACCTGATGATATAGGCAACTCAATTTAAAAATAGCAAGAAGCACAATGGTAACCACTTTTGATCACCTGGTATTCTATTTTTGTATCATGTACTATGTCCATCCTTTTGTTCTGACTTTGTTTTGCTTAGTCATGTTTGGTATTATTCTCTTCAGAAAAAAGTAATAAGAACTATGGGAGTAATAAAACCCAAAAAGTCTAATTGTTATTGTAAAAAAGAGAGGAAAGGAAGGTGGACTAAGGGATATAACTGCAGATATGTTCAAGTGTGTAGGATAGAAAACCATATTACTGAGCTTTTGTTGGATCACTGAACGGAACTGTCTACAGTGTCACTGTGTGAATGTCCACTTTATATGCTTTAATTTTGTAATTTGGACAACTGTTTCTGGAGAGATAATATGTAACCTATTAACTGGTGATTTCTTACTGTATATTTTTTTCTTGAAATTCTCTATTACTTGTACCCTTTTATTGCTGTGTTTTTTCATGTCCTTTCTTTTTTTCTCTTTAAATACAAAAAAATATATCTTGCTTAGCATCTCTTTTATTAATCTTCTTATATCTTGCTTTATCTGGCTAAATATTTCACTTTTGAATTTGTCTATCAGGTCCTGAAGATATCTCTTTATGTTCACTGGTGCTGTGTCTGATATTGCATATTTGATGTTCTCATTCTCCTTTGTATTTATCTGTCCTGGGTCAGTGTTCTCAGGGTTGGTACCTGGGGACTTTATCTTGTTGCTTCCTCTTCCTATCTTTTTTGTTTCTTCCAGGATGCCCCAGACTCTTTCTTTGTCGGTTACAATTCTTCTGAAGCATGCTGGCTAGGTGACCCTTCCCACTGCAGTGTGCTAGTGAGTTGCAAACAAGTGCAGTGTATGGTAGCCCCTCCCCTCTGGATCAGTCCAGCTGCTGAGGCCTGCACTGTATTACTGTGCACCGCCTCACCTCCAGTTCAGTCTAACTTCTGAAGCTTCACTGAGTTAGTGTCCACTGCCACCATAAGGAATTGATTTCGATAACCTATTGAAACAGGTTATGTGACCCAGCCAGGTCATGTGACCCAGGCCTAGCTCACTCCACCAATCCTGTTTGGGAATGCACAGATTGACTGAAGTCACTGCTGCTCCTTGTACTTGCCAGTCCTGCCTGGTGCCAGAATGTCATCCACCAGAGCCCCACTATTTATGGAATGGCTCCACTCCCATCACTCACTACAGGTTGATGCAGGGTCCCTGCCAGCTCAGCTCTCCATTTGGCTGGCTGACCCTCGACCTCAGTGTGACTGCTCCTCCAGTGAGTCAAAGCAACAGGACCTCAGATGGCATGACAAGTCAGCTGCTGTGGCAGGAGGCCTGAACCTTTAGCTGTTTCAATAATAGCACCAGCACTGTGTGTTTGATTGGTTCTTCTCATCTTAGTTTCTTTTGGGGAAGAGAGAATTCATCTCCTGCTGTTCGTTTGCTCCCCACACTGTATTATGTTGAATTCTAAGTTAACTATCTCAGGGAGCCTCTGTAGCCAGTTGTTACCTATCCACCATATTTGCTCCACCCCCAAGTCTGTTGTAATTTAGCCAATGAATTTATTAAGGCACCTCTTTCTCTGTTGAAAAGAAAATAATTAGTGAGAAAAGGGGATCCATAAATCATATCAAGTAGACTGAGGCCTAGGATTTGAGTTCTATTTGTACTTTTATAAGAGTTAATAGTAGTGAGTGAGGTCACTGTAGGCCACTATAGGTGGCTTCATTTTGCTAAGATATCTCCTTAGGTCTCATTCATTTTTCCTACTTTTCCTGATGATTGTGGCCTCCACACAAATCCAGGGTCTGAGAGACACTCTGCGTGACTGTTTCTTTAAAAGAAAGCCCATAATCATTCTGTAAACTCTTAAGAGTCCAAGTCTGGGAATCATTTCTGAGACTAAAACTTTTACTACTTCTTGTGCTTTTTAAGTTCTGCAAGAAAAGGCCTCAGTACAGTTGGTAAAAGTATCAATCCAAACCACTAGTTTTTAGAGCTCCTTACTCTCTGGCATATGAATAAAACTGAGCTGCCAATGTTCTCCAGGATATTTACCATGTTTCTGTATAACTGGAGGGGTTATAGCCTTGTTAAGAGGATGGTTATTTTGATAGAGCTCACATGTTTTAACTATCTGATGTATCATCTAAGAAAACCCTTTCCTGTGAGTAACTTTAAGGTCATTTTGTGGGACTTTATCACTCCCAAAGTAAAAGATTTGTTGTAAAAACAGTAATTTTCACTCAACTAGTACCAGAAAGGAACAATTTGCCAACATCTGATTATTATCCTGATGGAAGGAACTGACACCTATGGGAGGGAATCCATTCTATTTCTTACTGGGAATATTTGGGTAGAGTATGATGAAGGAATATTTCTCAGATCAAGGGGACTGAAAGGGGAACACCATTTGTTGAGTTGTGGGTTGTTTGTTTGTTTGTTTGTTTGTTTTTTCTTTTTTTTTTTTTTTTTTTTGTAGATGCATCAGCCAGTTGATTACTTTAAGATATTTTGCAAATTCCATTTTGGTATCCTTTACAGTGAGTTACCCCTACTTTGGAGATCATGTGTACATATGATAAAAGTTCATCTATTTCCTTATAGTACTTTATGGCAGATTCACTGGCTGTCAGGTAATTTCTTTATTTATATATGTTACGTAGGCATGTAACACTAGGAAGGCATAATTTGGATCACCAGTATAAATATTGACTTTCTGTCCTTACTGAGTCATCAATCTCTTAGCTTATCGTTAATAATTATAAGAGCTATGAATTTTGCTAGCTGGGCACTAGTCCCAGGGGCAAGTGAAGAATTTTAAAGCATCTGATGTAGAATCCTTATTGCATACCCTACCTTTCTTGTCCCACTTTTCAAAAATGATCTGCCATTACAGAAGGAAACAAATCAAAGTCAGTAAGCTGTGTCTAACAAGTCTTCTTTAGCTGTGTACATATGGTGAATTACTTGTTTTTGATCATGTCTTTTAACCGCAATCACTTCCTTTTCTATTAGAAAGATATCAGGGTTTGAAAAAAAACCTGTCTTTGTTTGAATGTTTGGCTGTCTGAGAAATTGGCTGTCTGGAATCACAGGCTCCCTTTGAAAGAAAGAAGTCCTGCCACATTGTGAGGTGTACATACAGTGAAATCTCTGCCTGAATCAGCTTGAAAAATGCCTCTGGTTCCAGCAGAGCTACAGCAGCCACAGCTGTAAGACACAGATGCCAACCCTTTGCTGTAGTCTTTAATTTATGACTCAGAGACACCACAGGCTGTTGAGCAGGTCCAGGATCCTGAGTAAGCTCTCCCAAAGCGTGCCCCACCTTTCGTCAACATACAGACTGAAATGGTTTCCTCTCAGTAGGCTCAGAGCTGAGGCATTTATGAGTGCTTGTTTAAACTTCTAGAATGCAGTTTGAAGTTCAGGTTCCAGGTTAAAATATGATATCTGCTTTCTGAGCTTCTTTTATAAGCTGATGGAAGGGTCGTGCAAGCTCACCATACATGCAACAAAAGCCTGTAATTCCCAGCAATGTCTTAGCTGTTTTAGGGTCTTGGGCTATGAGAAGGACAGTGTTGATTTAATGCTTTCTTCCTCCAGCCTTCAGGTTCCCTCAGGTATGACAAAGCCAAAGTATTTTACCTCAAGGCTGAAAAGTTGTGCCTCAGACCTAGGGAAAATGGAGTAATTTCAAGAACTCAAGCAGAAAGATAGAGAACATGAGTTTTTGTATCACTGACAAGAGATTGAAAGTGTACCAATGGCAAACAGTAACTTGTGACAAATATTGTTATCTGTTGATAATTTTACTGAAAGTTCTATAATTTTTCCATTATAATGTGAGTGATATAATAAGGATATGATGAAAAGAACTGCACAGTATTACACACACTTAGCATCCTTGAAACCTGAGATTAAATCCCAGCACTAAAATAAATAAACACAATTCAAAAAATACAAGCTGAGATTCAGCAATTTAATCTAATATACAAAAGTAAGACTTAAACAGAAGAATCTCTTAACAAGGCAATGTTTGTGATTGACGTGTAAATTGACTAAGCACACTGATGTGCAAACTTCTGTTCCTGATAGGTAGATAAGTTGCAGAATATGCTAACATTTTTTCTGAGACAGTTGGAAATGCACACTATAAATGACACATTTAGAAGTTCAGTGTCCTTTTAATAGGAGCCTAAAGTGTCCTAGATTCTGGAGATGTGTGATGAGATAAATTGATTTCAAAGTAGCCCAAGTGTGCTAATTTCCTGTGCAACCTTAAGTGACACATTGTTGTGAAATCTACTTTTTTTCCATTTTTGACTCACTCTGAGGACAGTCTGTGAAGAATATACTGCCATTTTTCTGGATTTCGGTCATTAAATCACACCTGCAGCAGTTTTTTTTTACATATATAACCAAACCTTCTGACAAAAATTGGCATAACTTCAGGCAAAAGGAGGTATGTGTCACTTTTCTCTCCTGTCTCTCTACTATTCTAACTCAGTGAAAGATGACAACTGATAAATGTGATTCGATTGAGAGGCAACTCATATAAAACAAAATCAAAGTAGAATGTGAAATTTCTTTTCTTTTAAAAATTATTTTAAAAATTCAGGAGAAAAGTAATGAAATACTTTGAATGATTTCTTATAGTATTCTGATTATTGCCTGTGAGCAATTAATGATTAAATTATTTTCATGTATTTCAACTTATTACTTAATATAAATTAGAGTAAAACCCATAAGTATAGCATAGCAAAGATGAATAATTAACTTTACATATTGTAAACAGTATTTTGTTGGTCTTTAAATAATCATAGATTGATATATATTTAGTTCAGCAATTGGAAATTCTTAAAAATAATTTTGTACAATGATCAAAAACAAATGCAATTCCTCACTTGCTAACATTAAACAAAAATAATGTTTTTAAAAAATCAGAATTTTCTAGATAACATAAAATGCTAAACTTAATTATGGACAACCAACAGACTTCTAAAACTTGATCAAAACATTTCTAAAATAGATAATTTCATACTGATATAAGATTGCCTAATTAATTTTACACAGACTAACCAAAAAACCAATTATTCCTAAAATAATTTAATTAGTTAAAATTTATTGAAAACTTAAAGTGCCAACTTAATCGTTAATTCTGTACATGCATTATTTTCTGTACCTATTTTTGCACTTAGAAGTGTAAACTAGGTTATCAGATGGTAAATACAATTTTAAAGGTTATTATAAATTTCAAAGCCAGAATTAATTCTAGATCTCTCATCACAGAACACTTTCTAACATATACAGTATCCTAACATTTTTAGTAACTTCTCAGAACTTCTGAATTATTCAAAAAAAGATCATTTAATATCTCTAATCCATCTGAATAAACAAATGCAAACTACTAGATAAAATAATGCACAAAATTAATATATACCTACTTTCTATTTACAGTATCTAGTTTTTAACTGTCCTTATATTTAAATCTGTTATAAAATTTAAGGACCTTTTTACATATATGTTAAAATATTTTTGATGTTAGAACATTACTGTGGAAATTGGTTTTAACTTATTATAGATATCTTTGTTCATAAACATCTTTATTTATAATTCATTGGTTATTTTTAATTGTCTAACCAATAGTATTGTGTCAAAAGCAGACTGTGCACTAAAATTACTGATTTTACTATATCACAACAGTCAGCTGCTGAGATGAGCAACCAGCAAGTGATGTACTCGGAACTGAATCTGAACAAGGACCCAAAGAAACAGCAAGGGAAACCTAAGGGTACCAAAAGCTCCATTTCAGAAAATGAGCAGGATATAACCTATGCAGAATTAGCATTTCAGAGTGCTTCTCAGGAACACCGTGGGAATGACAAGCAGCACACCTGCAAAGGTACCACTTTTCTTCCATCCTCACTTTAACTGTCCTAGAACGAGCAGCGGGGTGCAGAGGTATGGGTAGAAAGTAGGATGCAGGCTCACATATTTTTAACTTGTAAGACAGGTACTTTACTTGAGTTATGCTACTCTAATTTAAGGTAGGAAGACTAATTGCTGAAGCAGTAAGTCTTTGACAAAGGACTCATGGAGCATGGTGTACACCGAAAATACGGTGGTATATTTCAGAGATATTGCAGTTGTGGACATGGGGTTGGCACTCAGGTTTTTATGTTGTTTCCCTGTGCGTATAGTTTCTCTTGTATGCAAAACTTTTTATCTGTTTTGTTTATTAGTACATGTTTTCAATGCATAATGATGACAATCTTTATGATGAGTTAGTACACAGACATAACACATAATTCCTTTTTAACAAACTTCTCCTCCCCTGTTCCATCTCTTTTTATATAATTTTATTTCATTAGTACACGTTCACAGTATGTGAAGTTTACATTTATCTTAGAGAATATGTCCATGTACATGACATACCTTGATTCTGTTTTATTCCCCATTTTCTTTCCATTTACTCTCCTCCTTTGTCTCTAGATTCCCTTTCCTCATTTCATTATTATTTTAATCATTATTGTTATTAGCTATAGCTCACGGAATGCTTACATTCATTTGTAGGCATTTGGTACATACACGTGGCACATCTTGCATCTTTTAAAGCCCTTCCCTTCTCCTCTTCCCTTCTAAATGGCTGCCTCCATCCTCGTTTCTCCTGGCTTCCATTTCTCTTCCTGTAGATTTCACATCATCTCCTCAGAAGCTTCTTGCAGCGACCCTGGGAACCACCTGCCTTATCTTAATGGTCACGGTGATAGTGATGGTGACAGTTGTAATTCCCTGTAAGTATATTTTTGAAAGACTGTACAAAAATGCTGCACGCTAGTGATTGGGAATGCCTCTGATGTCTCACAGTGTCAAAGAACACAGCTCTCATTTTAATATTTCTATTTGAACTGCAGATAGTTATTCTGAACTTGTCCAAAATATAAATAATAAAGAGTAGCAATGAGTCCTTGTTTTTAATTATATTTATATGTCAGGATTTCATAACTCAAGTGTGTTATAGAAATGTGAAAAATCTTGAGGAATATAAATTAATTTTTCATAATTAAAAGATTGTGATGTTTGCCCATTAGGCTTTTATTGGAATCATTTTCTCAAAGAGTTCATTGTTTTATTGAATATCTGGGTAAAATTATTTTTATTCTACATTATTCTGTAAACTATATAGATTTCAAAATAGAAATTGAAATTACTATGTTCTACTTAGATATTAATGTTTATAAGAATTACTTTATTCTTTCTAGCTTCTGTAATGCAGGAGCAGAACAAATCTTCCTTGGTAAGAACTGCAAAAGGTACATGGTAAATTTCAAAGATATTATATTTTCATAGATATTTTATATTTAGCTTAAACCATAAAAATTTATAATGGATTTCTGTGGGAAAACAAGCTAGAAAATGGCCACTAAGTGCTCATAATAAAGAATATAGGAGACTTTAAATTTTATTCAATACATATAAATACACATTTAAAATTATTATGCAATCTTTTGATAATCGACTGAAACTTTCTACTTGTATAGCATGATGAGAGATAAATTTGCTACTCTAGATTTTTTTCCTGATTTCAAGATGCTGGTAGAGCAAACATTTTTTAAAAACTTTATTTCAGCACATTAATTACAAAGATGAGAGGCTCAACTTTTTTGTGCTTTAATGTATAAGCCCATGTTTTCTTGATGTATACCAGCCTATGAGGATGTGTAGATATTTTATGCACATATACATATTTTTATAAATACAAACATGTAAACTTATTTTCAGTTTTAAATTTCACCATGTTTCTTAATAGAAGTCCACAACCCTTCTTCAGCATATCCTTGTGGTCGTTGTCCAAATGAGTGGCTAATATTTTCCAACAATTGTTATTACTTTGGAGTGGAAAAGAAAAATTGGACTGAGAGTTTGGCATCCTGCACTTCTAAGAAGTCTAACCTGTTTTATATAGATGATGAGAAAGAAATGGTAAGATTTTAACTCTTTCAGACAGTTAATTAACAGCTTTATTAATATATGTACAACTCATCCTTATTCTTATATATTTTTTTCATTTAAAGGTCTACATAATATTTTATTGCTTGACTTCAAAATTTTATTTGTTTACTGCTCATGCACATTTAATTATTACCAGATTTTGCTTTGCTTAGAAAGCCATGCTAATGAAAAAGATTTTTTCCTGATATAACTTTTGATATATAATTTTGCCACACGTAAAGAAATCTAAACATCTCATGATCGTTCAGACTGATCACAAAGTGAGTAGTTAGACTCACTAACGTCACATTACAGAGTACGACACTGCAGCCGCGGCTGCTCTGGCTCTGTGTAATCTCATTCGTTCTTTTTCTCCTAACCCACCATTGTGACTTTGGCCTTTGTAAGTTAGTTTGACCTGGTTCTGAATTTTCTGTGAATGGAATCAGGCTATCTATATTTTTGCATCTTTTTCCGTTCATCCTTGTATGGTTTGGGGGTGATTCACTAGCACTTCAGTTTGCTCATTTTTAGAATGCAGCAGTTTCAGATCCACTGCACCTGTGATCTGGATGGAAAGAGTGAGTCGCCTGTTCTCAGGGGCAAAGGGACTTCCTAGGTAGAGCATTTGTAGCTCTGGAATCCCCCTTTGTTGGAACTTCACTGTCCCTCTTTGCCCTGTTTTCCCTTGAGGAAGAGAAGCATTTCCACTGCAGCTTACTATTGACTGATCTCTTGAGGGATCACCCTTACCAGGACTTTCTGCCCTGTCTGGTGCTGCTGGAGGGGTTGCTGTTACTGCAGAGGAGGACTAAGCTTAGAGAAGCCACTGATGATTCCCACGCTGGGTGCCTGCAGCCTGAAGGCCAAGGTCTTTTTCCTCGGCCTATGACAGACTTTAAGAAGGCCTAACATTCTAGCTCTCTAATCCTGGGCACCAAACTTGTTCACCTTTTCTTTCTAATTTTCAGAATTACCCTTTAGTTATGTCTTTCATTAATTTCTGAGTTTATCTCCGAAAAAGAAACAGGAAAAAAGTGGATGCAGTTTTGTCTGAATCGTTAGTATGCAATAATGCAGGCAGAAGGGGACAGGTTATTTAGCTAACGGTGTGATGCCCAGAAAACTGCATTTTTTCATTTCCATGTCATTTATTTCCTCAGTAGTAAGTGATAATTTTCTTCTAAGGTTCAGACTCTGAGAGACCTAGTAAAAAAAAATACACTTTTTTAGTTACAGCATCTGGAGAACTTAATATACAGTGTCTAGAAACATGTAGAAGTCTTGTTGGGTTTGTTTTGTGAAAATGGGCCATCATATTACGTGAATCACAGCAACTCTTATTAATATAAGAAAAAAGTGAATATTAAGAGTAAATAGGAGTTAGTTTCAATCCATCTTAAAAAAACTTATGAAATTTTTAGTGACAGAAAAGTTGTTTTTAACTTTCATATGGTTTATATTGGTTTTGTATGTTGAACATCAAAAATTCTATAAAATAATACATTATTTTTTAAAATAATAAAAGCTGTCATACTGTTTATGTGCATGGAATTATTTGTTTCTTATAGAAATTTCTAAGGGTCCTCTCACGTCCATCCTGGATTGGAGTCTCCCGTTCTGGCAGAGATCACCCATGGCTGTCGGTAAATGGCTCAGCATTCAATATGAAGTATGTTTTTTTCTTTTAAATAGTTGCTACATATACAAGAAGAAATACAAAAAACCCAGAAAACTGTCATTATTAACTTATATGAAAATGCAGAAATACACTGCAAATTTGTAAAATATTAATATAAATATTAATGAATGATTTGTTTTCTAAACACCAGCATTTAATAATATTATTATATGAAAAGTCATTATCTATTTAATAAGTCATGAAAGTATATCATTTTTTTTAAACAGAAAAATTCTTTTGTTTGATAGATCACTCCCCAAACATAATTTATTGGTGTATTTTTCACCATTACAGAGTACAGAACTCATCATCTAATGAATCCAACTGTGTTTGGTTATCCTTATCTGGCTTTATGGCAGAAAATTGTGGATCATCACTCACGTATAATTGCAAACATAAATTTTAGAATTAATATACCTGAATTTGGAGCTTGTCAAGTAATTTTCTATTTCATAAAATGGAAATTATATTATGATTATACTGGTCTTAAACTGAATCAGATGTGTTCTTCTAATAACAAACTTATTAAAAATTACTATTGAAATATATTATTTATATTACAAGGGAAGAATAGTGCTTTTGTGTTTACTTCCTTTTAGTCAAAATATAAGCAATCTCATTTCAAACGTACAAAACTATGGCCATCAAATATTTTTTAAAATTACTCAATAATTAGAAGAATATTTATGAGTCAGCAAATACATCTCACATGCAGACTACTTTCAATGTCTGTTTGTTCAATTTAACTGAGTACAGTTTCTGTGCATTGTTTTAAAACACAACCGTTCTTCAGAAAGCTAAAATTGACTCTCCTCTTCAAAAAGTTTCTAATCTTGGCAGAAACATTTAATTCACTAGGCTTCAAAGGTTGTAATTTTTCTACACAATGACTAGTGAACTTTTAGTTTTCTTTAGCTGGCTTGGTAAGTCATCATTTTCAAAACATACCATTGACTACAAAAGGATCAAACTAACACATCTATTCCCCTTACTAGAAAATCTCTCCCATGCATGTATTCTGTGAAGCTGAATTCCAGGCATCTTTATTGCATATGAAGAAACCACATTTCTTGTCTTCTCATAATAAAATCTTCTGGATACATAAAAAAATTGTAAGCACTTATTGTGATAATTTCTTTAATAGAATTTTAAAAAATTTTTGGTTACTGACTTCATTTTTAGGAGGGTAGGTAATTTTTTTGAAATTGAAATATTTTATACTCAATGTAAATATAGGTAAACAGGAACAAATATTAAACTTTTACATATTTTATTTAAAGTTTAAATTCAAAGTGTCTACTGGGTAAACTTGACTAGTGGGCTCCTGCCTCACTAGTGCAGTGTTACATATTTATATTAATATATGTGAGATTAGGAGCATATAATGCATTTAAGGAAATGTCTACATGAATTTCAAAATACAAGTTTTCTGTGTTGGTATGGAGTGTATATATCAGTATGTTTGTATGCATTTGTTGGTTTATCCAGTTAAAGTGTTTCTATAGCCTTACTATGATATTTGCTTGTGTCATAAGTAACGATACAGAAGTGTCTAAATGTCTATTAATAAATGTTTTTACTTATTTACTACTTTTGGTTCTATGTGAAACTTGTATTTTGGGGTGTGAATACATTTCTCAAAAACACTGTCAGTAGTTTGGATAATAAATCTGACATTATAAAATGTTTCTTCATTTCCAATGACAATTCTTTTTTTAATGAGAGTATATCAACTATATTAGTCTTCCACTGGTTTGGAATGTATACTGCATGTTTTTCCTCTCGTTAACTGTCATCTTTATACTTACATTAAGGGGATATCTCATTAAGGTAATGTTAAGATATTTTAAACATAAATAGTTTATACTAATGAAATATTACTCCATATATTTTATATTTCTAAACAGTACTAAATATACTGTTTATGTATTTATTTGTACATATAGATATATAAGTAATTATTAATTATAATTTTCTGTAAGTATGTTAATTTAATATACTTTAAATATTCTTTTACTAGTGTCCTCCATTCACTGCACGTACTGTTTACACATAGAAGTTCTAATGAATTAGTGATTTTATCCTTTTTCAAATGCTGAAGAACATCTTAATATTTTCAAAGACTCTGCTTTTTCCCTATATTCTGTTAATACATTTTTTCAAATTTGAAACTTTGTCATTTATATTTTATCTATTCAATGTCCACATAGATATAGCCACATAATTTCTTTTATTTTCCTTTTTATGTATTCAAAGTTTTCATTGAGCATAATTATTTCATAATTAGAAGATCATTATTTCCTTTATTTAGACTCAGTAGACAACTATGTGTCTCTATTTTTCTTAATTCCTTGAAAGTGAATCTATTTGCATATGATATTAAAAGAATATTTTCTCTTAAGAACTTTCAATTTATTCATCTGTCTGAAGGTATTAGGAGTAGAAATCATCTTCATTAGCCAAATTAATTACTATACAATATATTTAGCTTCTCTCTCTTTATATCATGAAGAGTAAATTCTAACTACTCATGCTGAGTAATTTTGGTTTATCTTTATGTTTTTACTATACTTTTATCTGAGCACAGAGTTCATTAAAGTTCCATGGCAGAAGAATTAAAAATTCGTATTATTACCCAGGTGTGGTGGTGCGTGCCTGTAATCCCAGCACTCTGAAAGCTGAGGCAGGAAATTACTGCAAGTTTGAGGCCAGCCTGAGCTACAAAGTGAGCTCAAGGCCAGCCTGAACTGCACAGTGAGACCTGTCTCAAAAAGTCAAAAAATTATATTATAACTATGCATATGATAGGCAACATTGTTTAAAGGAAACCATGAAGTAGAGTAATAGCTATAAATATCTTATTTAAATATAAGATATCAAGTAGAGTAACAGGATAAATACCTTATTTAAATATAACATATCAGTGAATCTGAAGTTATTTAGCATTTTAAAGGATCATTTCTTTGTTTTAATTCTGTAATGTACTTAAGAAAAAAGATTAGGGGCTGGGGATTTAGCTCAGCGGCATAAGCACCTGCCTTGCAAGCAGGCAGTCGTGAGTTCGATCCCTGGTACTGATTAAAAAAAAAAACCGAAAAGACCAAAAATATATTAATGTTTAAATAGAAATAAATGAATTCTAATAAGTATGCATCATAGATACACATATAAATATAGGTTAACCTAATTGATGAAAATATAATGAAATATAGTTTATAGAACTACATATACAGTTATGTATTATTTATTACAGTAATAGATTCTGAGAAATGTATAATTATTTAGTTTTGTCATTGTCCAAACATCATAAGCCAACTGAGACAGCTATAAAGTCACTGAATAATATAATCCTTTTCTTTAATTGAACAATAAAATCTTACAGACTCATTGCTGAATATGTGATTCATGTTGACCAAAATGTCCTTGTGTTGTACATGACTACAGAGTTATCCAGCTTTATGTATTAAATGGATTTAAATTCCATTTTTGTAGATTTTAGAAAGCTAAAAATTTAGATTTGCCTGATCTCAATATTGTGGAGTTTGTAAACAAAGTTACTATCCCTTGAGTGACAGATAAGTATTCCTGCATTTTTTCAATGCAAGACGAAGAAAAAGAAATAATTCTATTGGAAACAAACCAAATGAATTAAATTTGAAGTTTTGTTTTTCTTTAGGTTCATTTAATATTTTAGTTTGTTTTAGAAGCTTACTTTATCTACCCTGCTCATTTTTTCATGGTATTCAAATTAAAAAAATTTTTTTCCACATCATATAGCTTCTCTTGGACTTTGTCACTTACAAGAGGTATTCCTGTTAAAATATAGACAATTGTGATTAAAGGGTTACATGACGAGCAATTTAGTGAGGGGTCATATAACATTTCAATCTCTAGTATAGTGACAGTTGAATATTATGTAATTTATTTTCCTGTCCAGAGACATTACTTTGTCAGGGAAAAAATAACTTATTTATAAATAACAAAATTACAAACCAGACATGATGGCACACACCTGTAATCACGACACTTCAGAAGCCAAGACAGCAAGATCACAGTTCACACCCAGCCTGGAACACGGTGAAACTGGAGCAGGACAAACAATAAAAGAACAGGAGCCTAGGGTTGCTAAAAGCTGCATATCAGGAATGGAGCAGGAAATAACCTATGCAACACTGAACCTCCAAAATGATTCTCAGGATCTTCCAAGGAAATTGCAAGATCCACCATTATACAGGCAAAGCATTTAATCAATCCTCAATGTGACTGTTGCAGGACATGTTGTGGGATTGTGGGTTAAAAGCAGGGAAGGAGCACACATGATTTTCATGTGTTAAAATCACAGTTTAAAGTTGGGATGTAGTGTTATAGTACAAAATTAACTAATTCATTGTTAAAATTTCAAATCTGACCAACAACTCATGAAGTAGTCCCTTTAGTAGAACTTTGATGGGATGGAAAATTAGTACTGCAGATGTGGTTGGAGTCCAAGTGACGATTTCCTGTGCATGTGACTTCTCTTTTATGTACTTTTCAGAAAATGAATCCATCTTCATTTCTCATTGTTTCCATTTCCTTCTCTGTGGACTTTGTCACCTCCAGAGAAGCTCATTGTTGGGATCCTGGGAATCATCTGCTTTGCTTCAATGGGCACAGCTGTCAAGGTTCCCCCTGGGGAGGGTCTGGGCAGCACCTTCTCTCCACAGGTGACACTTCCAAGTTCCTCTCTTGGTGAGGCTGGCCCCTTAAATAGCAGTTGAGACTAAAGTGGCAGTGTGTGGAAGGCAACTCTAGTGACTCCCCTTGAATGTAAAACAATTATTGTGACTTTGATTATTTGGAGATTTTTTATACTGATATGTAGAGAGCTGGCTATGGTATTTCCTTCTCTCTTCAATTGGCTCTAAGCATTGCAAATAAGGCTAGCCCAGGTGCTGGTGTATAATTTCTAAATCCAACAGACACATAGTGTTCCTCACATAGTGTTCCTAGTTTGGGATATGAGCACAGCAGGATGTTAGTGCCAGTCAGTTCTGGGAATGTCAACTGGGTAAGAGCCTCAAGGTAAAGAGTTTATGGCTTCCCAGGGCACAAGATTTTACATATCAAAAACCAAAGCAACAGCCTCCCAAAACAATTCTGTTGCTACCTTAATTAGATTATGTAAATTGATCCTTCTGCACATCACTTTCTCTCACCTGGCTAGCCAGCTCCAGTTACTCAGTAATTCAGTCATCCTCACTGTCACTCATTCCTCAGCCACCCTCCTTCTTCACAAGAAAATAAATTCTGGGAGAGAACTAAGATCTGGGCCTTGTCTGCACATACTCAAGGGAACTGGATTTAGGCTGCCTAGGCTGCCTTTAACTTGGAATCTGTCTTGGTGTTTTTTACTCTCTAGCCGTGTGTTAGCTTAAAGGTGGTAGACTGGAATTAACTTCCTGACATTCCAATAACGTCTCAATGGGATTGTGAGGCAAACTAAAAAGAGGATTACAATACTTGGGTGACTGCACACAGTATTTGGGATTACAACAGCAGTGTCCCAATGGTTTGCAAGACTGTAGGTGGGGTTGTCATCTCAATGACTAGCTAAGGAGAAGAGAACCTTAGGGAAGAGAATGGGCAAGGCTCACGGGCTGTCCCCTTCATGGTAACATGCTCTGACAAGCACCCTGACATCTAATCTTTAGAAGAGGGCCTTGGCACTCTCTTATGAACACAGAAGATCTTTCTGCATGTAACACTAACACTTTAGAATGCTGATCATGTCATTGCAAGAAATACAGACTGAGGGGAGGAGTAAAGAAAGGAGAAATGCCTTTCCGGGACATGTGACCCTCAACTTCCGGGTGAGACCTCACCTCCTAACAGCGTATCAACCATTCCCCTGGTAATACAGTCACCTTCTAAGAGTCCTTTCTCTAAGACTCTGAGGCTTTGGGGGACACCCCAATTCTTAACCATAGCACTGTTTATTACTAATTTTGTGAGTTTTGTCATGAAAGGATGCACAGTTTTGTCAAGTGCTTTTGTAACATCAGTTGAGATAATTACATTATTTTCTCATTTTAGAGTGGTTCATTACTCTGGTGATTCTTCTATGTTGAACCATTCTAGTGTAAGTCTACTTGGTCATGATGTATTATTCTTTAAATGTTCTCTTAAATTTTGTTTATGTGCTTACTGTTTAAGATTTGATATCAATCAGTGTAGTGCTAGTTATATATAAAATGTGTTTGGAAGTGTAGGAACATATAAAGCAAATATTGATGAAGTATGTCATATGCCAGAATTTAAAATGATTTATGTACCACTATAACACTATGGTATTCTATATTTGCCTGTATTTACATCTTTATCGAAGAGCTTTTATATACATTTTATGATTATCTAGTGTCCTATTGTTCAAACTTGAAGAATTCTTGGCTTTGCTTGGGGAGTACATCTAGAGGTGAATTTATTCAATTTTATTCACCTGAAAAAGTCTTACTGTATCCATTTTTGTTCACAACTTTGACAGATATAATATCTTTATTTGAAATTTTATTTCCATTCATAACTTTGAATAGTTCACACCTTATCTTTCTGGT